TCCAGGCTGCGGCCTACAGGGAGGTCTTAGACCCGGAGGCCCCTTCGTGGTCCGTGGCTGTCGCACGGGGGCCACCCTGCAGATCCCCACGGCAAGGCTCCTTCCCGGGAGTGGTTTCCCATCCTGTCAAGGCTGTGACGTGCACCTTGACCAGGGAGTGGGACAGGCCAGCACCCTCTGCGCCCCGTCCGTCGCCTCCCAGAGCACTAGGAGAGAACAGCTCACCCCGTGTGCCAGGCGCCCCGTGCTCTCTGGAAGAACCTCCGCTAAGCCTCACAGCACCCAGGCCCGCAGGCACCAACGTCACCCACGTCACAGATGCTCAAGGTCCCAGCGTCAGCAAGGCCACGGGGCAGCTCGTCCTCTCTTGGGTCCTCCGGGCCTTCTTGCCACACCTGGCTTTGGGCTCCACTCTCAGGCACAGGGAAACCTCAGAGATTCTGGCTTGGACAGGGATGGGATCAGGCTCCAGTAGAAAGGTCACACGGGACACAGCAGGGACAGTCAACGGGAGGGGCCCTGATACCGTCCTCCCACCCCCTCCCTCCTCCCTCCTGCCCACCCACCATCAGATCCTACAGGAGGGAGAACCCGGTGATCAGCAAGATGGACAAGAGGCCGGCGCCAGTGCCCTGCGTCCCGCACAGTAGAGGAGAAATGCGACAACCGATGAGCAGACACTGCCCACTGGGGTCAGACAGGTGTGCTAAGACGGCTGCAGCGGTGGCCGCCACCACAGTGGCCCTTCCTGGGCAGTGACCGGGGAGAGCCACCAGGAGCAGCAAACCCAGGAGGGCCTCAGAAGACGGCTGCACAGGGCAGCAGGGACAGCGGGGTTAGGGCCGGCCCCCAGGTCCCCGGCCTGCAGGGACCACTCCCAGGGAGACGATGACGACACCACCAGAGGAAACCCAGGTCGATGCTGGTGACAGACGGCAGACAAGACACCGAGGCTCTGAGAGCCCACAGCTGGTCGTGCGGGGCGCAGCAGAGCCCTGGGCCTGCGTGAAGGGGCCACCCCAGCAGGGGTGCAGGGAGGCCACCCCAGCAGGGCTCAGGGGACGTGGGCAAGAGGGGCGGGAGAAGCAGCGATGGTGTTCATGAAGGGGCCATGTCCCCAAGCACAGAGCAGCAGTCGAGCCAAAGGAGACAGACGACAAAGAGCTCCCTCTCACCAGTTCTCCCCAGATGCCCTCAACACCTAGCGCTGGGCAGGGAGAAGCCAGGAGCCAGGAGCTCTCCCCAGGTGGCCCACACGGGTGGGCAGCTGCCCCAAGGTGTGTGCTAACGGGAAGCTGGAGTCTGGGCACAGCCGGGACTCGAAAGGTGGGACGCCCGGGTCACAAGCAGAGTCTTAACCTCTGCACCAAACACCTGCCCACAGGAAATGTTCCAACTTCATACGGCAGCACTTTGGCCTAAACCGGCGCAATATTTGAAATTTAAAGGACTTTAATGGTGACATGAATCTGGCAAAATGTCCACAACCACTTGCCTGTGGCTGGCACGTGGGTGAGGCCAGCAGCTGGCAGGGGACAGATGGGAGGAAGGAGAGGGCAAGGGCTGGGCCCCCAGGAGCTGGGAGGACCAAGGTGTGGACCAGGAGAGCCAGGCCCGCTGGGGAGAGCAGGAGGCTGCGCAGGCCTGGCCCTGGTTGTGAGACTGCAGAGGGAGGGACCAGGAGCCGAGGGGCTGGGAGGGCACGAGGGGCTGCATGCCGGTGACAGTGCAGCCACGGGGGCCCAAGCCGCGCCGGACACTGCTGCCCCCCTCGCGCTTCGTACTCATTCCCCCTTCGGGGGTTGTGAGTGAAGTGTGCAGCGAACACAGCACGCCCAAGAGAGCAGCACCATAGTGCCCCGCACGGCCCCAGCAGTCTGGCCACGCGGCACGAGGGGTCGCGGGGAGACCCAGATGGAGCGAGGCCCCCGCTCCCAGCAGACCTGAGTCACCGCAGGACACGGTGGCTTCTGAGAATCTCCAGCCGCCTGGGAGCCCTGCCCCGCCCCTTCCTGCTGCCTCTTCCCCGTGTGAGCTGCGGTTACGCAGAAGGAGCCGGCCTGTGCTGCGGGGAGGTGGAGTGACAGCGCCACCACACACACCCCCTACGGCTCAGACACCTGCGCACCTGCCCGTGTCACACCAAGGAAGAGGGTTGGTCCACACACTCAGGTGAGGCCCTGTTCGAGTGAGGACAAGCCTCGGCAGCATCGTGCCGGGGAAAAGGACCCAGGCAGGCAGGCCACGTGGCACACGGCACCGGTCCATTTACACGGAATGCCAGGAAGGGGCGGAGCCGGGGGGTTGCCGTTGCCAGACGAGGGGGCAGAGGGAACAGGCGGTGACTGCTGGTGGCCGTGAGGCTCCTTTCCAGGGTGAGAGAAGTGTCCAGGAAGCAGACAGAGGGGCAGTGACCCTGCTCAGTGAGTGCCCCCCACCCCCGATCTGGCCACTGTGGGAGTGAATTGTAGGGCTGTGAAACGTCTCAGTAAAGAGAAGGGAAGCAACTTTTCGTCCCCATTGCTACAAAAGCCCACCTAGGACCCAGTGCCACGGGAAGCAAGCCGACCCCTGCAGGCCGGGTCGCTGGTCTCAGCAGTTTGGACGGAACGAGGGAAAGTCCAGTTTGACGCAAGCCGGAAACCAGGCCACTAAGCAGGAAAAGAGGAGCTGCTCGAGAGGAAGCGGATTCCTCGGAACAAGACGTTAGTCTAACAGTAAAAAGAAAGGAGTGAGGAGAAGTAAGCGGAACAAAACCAGCAGGGTTGGTTCTGCGCACATTTCCACAACTGCACACCAGTGCCCATGCGAGCTGAGACCCGGCCCACACAACGCGGGCCTTGCAGAGCGTATGTGCGAGTATTATGTGTCAATTAGAAACAAAAATCTGAAATGAAATCAATGCTCTCGGGTTTGCATGTACACTGGCATTGCCTGGCAAGACTCGTGTTTCAGGACTGGCGCTGCGGTGTGGCGGCCGGCTTCCCATATGGATACCAGGTCCAGTCCTGGCCGCTCTGCTCCGACCCATCTCCCTGCTGATGGCCTGAGAAAGCAGCAGCAGATGGCCCAGTGCGCTCGGGCCCTGCACCCAAGTCCAAGGTCAGAAGAAGCTCCTGGCTCCTGGCTTTGGATCGGCCCAGCTCTGACCGCTGAGGAGTGAACCAGCAGAGGGAAGATCTTGTGCTCGCTTGCTCGCTCTCTCGCTCTCTCTCTCTCTCCTTCTGTCTCTCTGGAACTTTGCCTTTCAAATAAATAAATAATTTTTTTAAAAGACTACTGTTTTGTTTTTTTTATTTACTTAAAGCAGAGTAACAGAGAAAGAAATACATTCCGTTTGCTGGTTCACTCCCCAAATGGCCGCTAGATCCAGGGCTAGGCCAGGCTGAAGCCAGAACCCCTACCTGGGTCTCCCACGTGAGTGACAGGGGCCCAAGCACCTGGGCCAACCACCTCTGCTTTCCCAGGGACATTGGCAGGGAGATGGGTCAGGAGCAGAGCAGCCAGAACTCAGGCTGCCCTCCAATCTGAGACATCAGCTTTGCAAGTGGTAGCTTAACCCACGGTGTCACCCAGCCCCAAGATTCATGTTAATGATAGGAAATTTTAATTTTATTTGCTCAGATTGAAACATTATAAAGGCACCACAATAAGCAGAGTCCAGAGATGAGAGAAAAACAAAAAATAAAATAAAAAAATCTTGTATTTCGGTTCCTTTGCAGGCACTTTCTTCCCTTTGTGGAACAAGGAGCCCAAAAACCGCAGCAGGGGGCCCAGTGGAGATGGGAGATGCCTGGGAAGAACACCCTGGGAGGAGCTCCGGGAGGCGCAGGAGGAGGGGGTTCCTGACGGGGTCAGCTCTGGCCTCGGGCCCAGCACCCCAGTGAGAAGGATGGGAGCCGCCCAGCCCAGCCTGGCTCGGGCAGGAAGGGGCAGGCCCAACCACAGCCCCTCTGCTCCTTCGCAGGGAGCGGAACAGCCCACGGAAGCATCTTTCGGACTTAGAGCCGTGAACCTCGCCACGCCGTGTCCAGCCCACTGTCTGAGAGCCCTCACTGGCCAGTCCAGGCCCAGGCCCAGGACTCTGTGGGCAGCTGCAGGGCTGGAACAGAGTTACCCGAGCCTGGGGCTGCGAGGGGTGCCTTTGTGGAACCCACAAAGGACGCTTTGTGGAAGGACATTTGGGGCTGGAGCCTCCCCACGGCACAGCCTGAGGCCCAGGAAGCTGCGAGGAGCTCTGTGCCTGAGGCCGGAGCAGGGTCGCTGGCTGGACAGGGCTGTGGCCCCCAGCCATCCTGCCCTGGGGTCTCCGCAGTCCCCATGGCCCCTTCCCTGTCTGGGTCCTGGGGGGGCGGGTGCAGGAACTACACGGCCAGCAGCACATCCGCCCCTGCCCTGTGGCACCTGCTCCCCTGGCACAGGGCACAGGAGGGCCTTCCGAGAAGAGACCTTCTGTCCCCTCGCCCCTCCACAGTCGGCAAGCCTGCACTGGGGTCCCCAGGGCAGGGGCCCAGGCTCTGCAGTCCGCTTCTCCTGTCCCCTCGCCCCTCCACAGGTGGCAAGCAGCACATTCTTGCTTACAGAGTCCAGAAAACCACACACACACACACACACACACACACACAAAAAAAAAAAAAAAAAAAAAACACTTGCCGACGAGACAGCCCGCACTTGGTACCCGCCTCCCATGCTGCTTCTCCCGGCTCTGAGCCGTGGGTACAACCCCTCGGGGGGGGGGGGAGGATTTCTCTCCCCCACCCCCAGTCTTCCTAGCAGATGTGCATCCCGGCCAACATGGAGGGAAATGGACAACCTTGCCGGGGACTTTTTTTTCTTTCATTTGAAACCATGACCGCAGCCGTTCCTCCAACCTGGCCTGACCTCTCCACGTGTCCAAGGAGGAAGCCCCCTGGCCCAGTTGAGGCCTCGCCAACCTGGCACCCCTCCAGGCTCCTCCTCCTGCTCCAACCTTTAAATGCATCCCGGGGCCCCAGAACACCATCCGACACCTGCCTGCTGCCCACCACCAGCCTACCACCTGCCACCATGCGCTGTCTCATCAGCCTGGCCCTCGGCCTGCTCGCCCTGGAGGCGGCCCTCGCTCTGGCCCCCAAATTCATCGCTCCAGGTAGGCCCAGCTGCCTTCCTCACTCCGGGACGCACTCAGGAGGGGTCCCCTTGTCTCATATCTGCTCCAGAGTCCACCCAAGACTCGTGGCCTTGGTGGCTCCGTGACAGGGACACAGCCGGCCAGGAGAGGAGCAGAGGAGGCTCACCCTTGGGAGGGGGTCCTGGGTGGCAGGAAACCAGCGCCCTGTCCCCACGCAGGGGGCCACGAGCTGCCAGGCCAAGGACTGGTCACCTCCGGCCAGGACCTGACTGGCCTGCTCCTGCAGTGGACCTGTGTCTTGTGTCCCCACTTCCACAGCTGACTTCACTCGCTTTTGTCAGCCGTATCGCAGTTCTGGCCACGGGTTTTTGTTTTGTTTTGTTTTGTTTTGTTTTGTTTTGCCCTCCTTCCTGGGCTGCTGGGGGCCAGGCTCCCACGGTTCTGTCCTCGCCCTCCTCCAAGGAGCCCTGGGGGTGGGAGGGGCAGGGCTGCGGGCCCCCACACACTTGCTCGTCCTGCCCCGTGTGCAGTGCAGGTCATGTGCCCCGAGCCCAGCTCTTCCGAGGAGACGCTCTGCCTCAGTGACAACGACTGTCTCGGCAGCACCGTGTGCTGTCCCAGCGCCGCCGGCGGCTCCTGCAGAACCCCCATCATCGGTAACGTAGCCACACTGCAGGCCTCTCCGGAAGCCCACACACCTGCCCCATGGCGCAGTCTCTCTGGGCCCCATCCACCTGCCCCGAGGCCTCTGTGCCACCCCACAGGTCCCTGAGGGCTCCAGGATGCCCCAGTGCTGCGGGAGGTCCTGCGGTGAGACCAGCAAGAGGGAGGCCACAGAGACCCAGCTGACCTCAGGGGTCCCCCGGCGCTCAACTTGTCTCAGTGGGGTCTTGCGGGTCAGGTCTGGGGGGGCCCATGTTACAGGGTGTGACCAGAAAAGGCCTGTCTCTCCCCAGTCCCTACCCCCAAGGCTGGCCGCTGCCCCTGGGTGCAGGCGCCAATGCTGTCCCAGTTGTGTGAGGAGCTGAGCGACTGTGCCAACGACATCGAGTGCAGGGGCGACAAGAAGTGCTGCTTCAGCCGCTGCGCCATGCGCTATCTGGAACCCATCCTAGGTATGTGTCCTGAGCCCTCCCCAGGCAGGGCTGTCCCTTCAGCAGGGCCCAGGGCTCAGGAGTGGATGTGGGTGAGTGAAGGGCACTCGGGGACGCAGGTGGCAGGCGGGACTTGGCCCTGGGTGGCTCACAGGCCAGCCTGTACCTTTGCCACTGATCTGAGAGGGAGTGCAGCACAGCTCCAGGTATCGGAGGAGTCGAAGGTTAGGAGCCTGGGGTGTTGTCCACCAGCTGTGGCCTGCATATTCCTTCCTACAGAGGGGGGGGGGCAGAGGCGGGGAGGGGGCTCTGCTTGCGCACTAGGGTCCCTGGCAGTGAACCACAGCCGACACTGACCTCCCACCTTGTCCCCACCTGTGTCTCCTGCAGAGAGCACTCCCCAGTGAGCCGCCTACCCAGGAGTCCCTGGCTGCCAGGAGAGTTGGGCCTGAGTCCCCCTCTTGGACCCAGAGAGCTTGTGACGCGTCCTCCCTGCTGCTAATAAAACTACTCAGCTTCATGGCTCTGGTTGTCTGTCCATCTGCCCTGGGAGCTTGGGAAACCAGTGACCCCAAGTAGGCACAGCTCTGCCTGGCTCAGCAGCCCAGCACGACGTCCGAGGGAATGGACTAGACCCCAAGATAACGCTTACCTCCCTCCACCCCTGTTTGAGCTTGCCAGGAAGGGCAGCAGGCCATTCAGGGTGAGCCACGCCCTCAGGGAGCCCCCACGTACCTGTGAGGTCACTTCCCTGGGCTTCAGTGCCCACGAACCCCTGTCCTTTTCCGTGGCAGTCAGTGAACAGAGTAAGAAGAGGAGAGTGAGCTCCAGCCTGTGAAGTTCAGCCCTTCCTGGGTGTGGCACAGAGACAGGCCAGGCTGTCCCAGGCTGTCCCAGGCTGCTGGCCGGGGGGTGCACAGAGGCCTCGCAGAAGAAAGAGCCATCATGTGCAGAGTGAGAGGAAAGGCCCCCCCAGACAGAGGCATGTGCAGGACGCCTCGGCCGGGACGTGGATCGGGCCAGAGGCCCCTGCGCGCCATGCTGGGGTGAGGGGACGTTTAGGACACAGGGCCTAATGGAGAGCAGCTAGGTCATGGGGGTGCTGCCTCCTGAGACTGGATTCGTCCCCTCGAGAAGGAGTTGTAAGAGAGCCTGGCGCCTGCCCTGAAACCGTTATGTGCGGGCCATCCACGACTCTCACACCGACTCCCGATATCGAGATGGCGTCCACCGTGAGGCCCTCACCAGAGCAGACCAGATGCCAGCACCACACTCCTGCACCTCCTGAGCTGTGAGCTGAACGAGCCCTTTCTCTTTCACGTACCCAGTCCCAGAGACAGTCAGCACCGTGCTCTCCAGGCTCCTAGGTACTCCTTGATCCAGCGAAGCTGACACACAGAACTAACCCTCACACACGTCTGCTCAGTGACCCAGGAGACCCACGTGTCACACGGATCTCTTCGTAGCAATGTCTACTCAAAACACTTGGCCAGGGGCTGGCGTCACGGTGCAGCGGGTAAAGCCGCGGCCTGCGAAGCCGGCATCCCGCGTGGGTGCCGGTCCATTTCCCAGTTGCTCCACTTTCAATCCAGCTCCCCACTAATGGCCCGAGAAAAGCAGCAGAAGACGGCCCAGACGTGTGAGCCCCTGCCACCTCCTTGGGAGACCTAGAAGAAGCTCCTGGCTCCTGGATTTGGCCTGGCCCAACCGTGGCCGTTGTGGCCATTTGGAGAGTGAACCAGTTGATGATCTGTGTGTGTGTGTGTGACCTTTTCCCCCTGTTTCTCTTTCAAATAAATAACTCTTCTAAAAAGTATTTAACTGGGTGTTGCCTGTTGTTTCTAAAGCTTAGATAGTCCCTACTGAGCTGTGGTTTGTGAACACTTCTTCTCATTCTGCGGGTGACTTCTCACTTTCTTCTCAGCATCCTTTGAAACACAGAAGTTTTTCATTTTGCTAAAAGTCCAGTTGATTGATGTTTTCTCTTGTCACTTTGCCTTTGGTATCATGTCTTAAGAAACCATTGTTGGCCGGCGCCACGGCTCACTAGGCTAATCCTCTGCCTAGCGGTGCCGGCACACCGGGTTCTAGTCCCGGTCGGGGCGCCGGATTCTGTCCCGGTTGCCCCTCTTCCAGGCCAGCTCTTTGCTGTGGCCAGGGAGTACAGTGGAGGATGGCCCAAGTGCTTGGGCCCTGCACCCCATGGGAGACCAGGAGAAGCACCTGGCTCCTGCCTTTGGATCAGCGTGGTGCACCAGCCGCGACGGCCATTGGAGGGTGAACCAACAGCAAAAGGAAGACCTTTCTCTCTGTCTCTCTCTCACTGTCCATTCTGCCTGTAAAAAAAAAAAAGAAAAGAAAGAAAAGAAACCATTGTCTAATCCTGGATCATTAAAATTTAACTTCTGTGTTTCCTTCTAAGAGTTGACTAGCTTTAGCTATGATATGCAGGTCTCTGGTCCATTTGCGTCAGTTTAGGTTACAGTATGAGGCAGGGAATCCAGCTCCATTCTTTTGCACGTAGATATTCAGTAGTCCCAGCACCATCTGTTAAAAGGACAGCCACCTCCCCGCTGAGCTGTCTCAGCACTGTCTAGAGACTCCATTCGCTGCAAAGGTAAAAGTTTGCTTCTGGACCCTCGGTTCTGTGCCCTTGGGTGTCTACACACACACCAGTTTTGATCATCATCATTTGTAGCAATTCTGAAATCACGAAACACAAGTCCTCCTGAAAAATTAAAAAAAAAAAAAACTTTAAAGAATGTTTTGAAAATCTAGATCCCTTGCATTCATTTCCATATGAATTTTAGGATCAACTTGTCAATTTCTGCAAAAAAAAAAGCCTCTGGGATTTCCACACACCCTGAGGCGACTGCAGATCAGCAGTTCAGACAGCACTACACATCAGCAACTGGAGCGTTCCAGCCTGCGAGCACGGATGTCTTTCCATTTATTTGGGTCTTCAACCTAACTTTTGTTTGTGTGTTTGTTTAAAGATTTTATTTATTTATTTGACAAGTAGAGTTACAGACAGTGAGAGAGAGAGACAGAGAGAAAGGTCTTCCTTCCGTTGGTTCACCTCACAATGGCTGCTGCGGCCAGCGCACCACGCTGATCTGAAGCCAGGAGCCAGGTGCTTCTCCTGGTCTCCCATGGGGTGCAGGGCCCAAGCACTTGGGCCATCCTCCACTGCCCTCCCGGGCCACAGCAGAGAGCTAGACTGGAAGAGCAGCCGGGACAGAACCAGCACCCATATGGGATGCCAGCGGCACAGGCAGAGGATTAACCTAGTGTGCCACGGCACCGGCCCCTTCAACCTAACTTTTGTAGATTTCCATGTGTGCCTCCAAATTTCTTCATTCAATTTATCTTCTAGCATTTCATTGTTTTTAGTTCCTTTTTTTTTTTTTAACAGGCAGAATGGACAGTGAGAGAGAGAGAGACAGAGAGAAAGGTCTTCCCTTGCTGTTGGTTCACCCTCCAATGGCCGCCGCAACCGGCGCACCACGCTGATCTGAAGGCAGGAGCCAAGTGCCCCTCCTGGTCTCCCATGGGGTACAGGGCCCAATCACTTGGGCCATCCTCCACTGCACTCCCTGGCCACAGCAGAGAACTGGCCTGGAAGAGGGGCAACCGGGACAGAATCCGGTGCCCCAACCGCAACTAGAACCCAGTGTGCTGGCGCCGCAAGGCGGAGGATTAGCCTAGTGAGCCGCGGCGCCAGCTTTTAGTTCCATTTTAAATGGAATTGTAATTCCTTTTTGAGATTGTTCATTACTACTGAGTATAAATGCAATCAATTTGACCTCATATCCTGCAACCTTACTGAAGTTATTTATCAGTTCTCATAGTTTTCTATGAGAACATGCAAGATCAGGTCATCTAGGAGCAGTGATCATTTTACTTCTTACTTGCCAATGTTGAGGTATTTTGCTTCTTTTTTCTTGCCTAACTGCCCTGAGCAGTATGTCTAGTACAATGTGGAATAGAAGTGGGGATAAATCTGTAGAAGTGAAATTGACACTTTGAGAAGCAATGACTTGAACAGCCCTTGTCTTGACTGTCCAGGAACACCTTGTTGTTTTGTTGTTGTTGTTGTTGTTGTTGTTGTTTTCTTAATGGAGAATGGGACTAGGAATGGGAGAGGGAAGAGGAGTTGGGGTGGGAGGGTGGGTATTGTGGGAAGAATCTCTATATTCTTAAAATTGTACTTATGAAATTAAATAAACAGTTTCTTTGGGAAAAATAAACTTAATCACCTCTTTTAAAAAAAGGAAGAAGTGGGGATCGCAACAATTCTTGTCTTATTCCTGATTGTAGGGGAAAGCACTGTCTTTCACAATTAGGCCCGATATGAACTCTGGGGTTTTTGTTGCTTTCCACTATCAGGCTAAGGCAGTTTCCTATTCTTAGTTTGTTGAGTATTTTAATCATGAAAAGTATTAGATTTTATCAAATCCTTCCTGGCACCTTTTAAAGGATTGTATGGTCTTGTCCTTCATTCTATTACACTGGATTTTCATGTTAACCCAATGTTGCATTCCAGGGATAAAATCCACTTACTGGTGGGAGGGGAGAGGGAGGAGGCCAGAAAGGCTGGGGCAAAGTGGACGGAGGGCCTGGGGTGAGCGCAGCCAGGGGTGGGATGGGGTGAAGGACAGGAGCGGGCGGGGGGTGGGGGGAGGCCCAAAGGACCTCGGGGGTAGTGGGCAAGGCCAGAGTGACAGAGAGATTTTCCATCTGCTGGCTCACTCCCCCAATGGCCCCAGCCGGAAGCCAGAAGCCCAGAACTCCATGCAGGTCTCCCATGCGGGTTGCAGGGACCCAGCTACTTGGATCATCCTCTGCTGCTTTCCCGGGTGCATTAGCAGGGAGCTGGATTGGAGGTGGAGCAGCTGGGACTCAAACAGGTGCTCATTTGGGATGTTGACATTGTAGGCATGGCTTTACCAGCTGCACCACAGTGCTGGTCACTGAACCAAGTTTCAACAAGATGGCTTTGGCTGCTGTGTTGAGAATAGACAGTAGTGGGGAGAGAGAGACCAGCTATGAAGTCGCTGCCATAGTCGAGATGAGAGATAGGAATGGATGGAGGTGGTGAGAAGCAACAGCAATTTTGGATGTCTTTTGCAAGTAGACGTGATGGGATTGGTGGGTGGATCAAATGTAGCTGGACGAGAAAGGAGTTGGAATTTCCAAGGCTTGAGCAACTGAACAGGTGGAGGTACAATTTACCCCAGTGGAGAGACTTCCAGCAGGAGCAGATTTTGAGGGAAAAGCAGGAGATGAAGCTGGAGCTGAGTAAATAAATATTCAAGAGATGTTGAGTGGGAGTTGGATGTGAGGCCGGACTCCCGGGCAGGTTCAGTGTGAAGGTCAGCTGGGGAGCGTGTGCATTCCCCGGGTGTGCAGAGACTGAGGAGAGAAGAGAGCCAAGCCTGAGCCTAGGCACATTCCAAACACCTGGAGGCTGTCATGAAGAGGAACCGGCAAAGATGGAGCAGGTGTGGCTCACGAGCC